GGGAGGGTGTGACACAATTGCACATATACACACACACACACAAATCAATTGGGCGCATACACACACACAAGGCATATACACACTGGTGAGTTCCTAACTTGGGTGGTGTGGTGTGTGTGTGCACTTGGGGTACTTAGGATACCTAGGGTACTTGGTGACTATGGGAGGGGGAGTCAAGGGTCAAAGATTTCTGTAAGGAGGGGAAGGAAGGAGATAGATGGGGGTTAAGATGAGAGAGGGAAAAATAAGAGAGTGAAAGTTGCTGGGGCCAGGATTAGAACTCGCAGACTGGAAGGGGAGCTTGGTTACTTAAGGTCAGGTGTCCCCTGGGGTTACTTGGGTTCACTTGAGAATAGAGTTATTTAAGGTTAAAGTGGCCCCTGGGTTTACTTAAGGTCACTGTGCCCCAGGGTTATTTGGGAAGCAAGTCCAGGGTTTGGTGAACGGATAGCTGGGAGGCACAGAGAGGGAGCCAAGATGACAGAGAGACAGACACAGGAGGAAGATCAGAGGGGCAGAAAGCAGAGATTGGAGTAGAGCTGGGAGGTCAGTAAGACAAAACCCAACTTGGAGTTTTAAAATAACAAGTTTATTAAACAGACAACACACTACACACCCCTACACACACACACACACACACACACACACACAATGGTAGCAGGAGAGAAAAAGTCTTGGTGGAGGGACTGAAATCAAGGTATGTAGCAACAGAGTCCAGGTCCTTTGCTTGGGGAAGGAAGGTGGGTGATAGCTACCTATCCTGGGCTGTGAGTTGATCCTCGTTGGCCAGTTGGGGTCTTCTCCAGCAAGGTGCTGTTCAGAGGGTGTTGCCGGCAGGGCCTCTGGGTGGATAGGTGGTGTGGTGTAGTGCTGATCCAGATGGAGAGGGGAGAGGGCATCCCACTGGGTCTGTCTTCACTGCCCCCTTTTATAGCGGCAGAACTTCTATGACCTTAGTGGCAGGGGCATGCCCAGGCAAGAGTCAGCCCCTGGTGTACTGAGCATGTGCACTCCAGGCTAGGACATGCAGTTTCAGGTGTCTGTAATGGTGGGTCGACTGGTTTCTGCAGCAGACTTTGTCTTCCAAATCTTGAGCCAGGGAGGGTCAATGCAGGGTGATGGTTGGGTCGTGGAGTTGATGGTTCGGTCATTTAGAGGGAGCTATTTTTAGACCTAGTGCCATTGTCTCTCAAGCACCCTCATTCATCCCCATTCATTCAGGAACCAAGTTACATGAGAGGAGAGTCATGAGTTACACAGTTACAACATATTGTATAGGGCAGGGGACACAAGATGGAAGCTTGTCATACAAAGTGGAAACTTGACATTACTTTACAGACATAGGCCTAAATCATATAAATTCAATATTAAACAGTAAAAAAAACATAATAGGAACATAATACAATATAAAACAGTAAAAAAAATCAACACAAACATAACAGAATACTATTTACAATATAAGAAGAGGCTTGTTGCACTAATAGCATACAAGAACTTAGCTTACCTAGCACTATCACTTATAAGGGATAGAGAGGGCAGAGAGGAAGTCAGAAATGGTTACGGGAAGGGGACAGAGTATATTTTTAAATTAAAAAGAAAAGAAAAGAAAAAACTGGAGGTTTTGCTACATGTTCATAATCTCAAACAGAATCCATACCGCCATTGTCTAGAGGTGCCCCAAATCAGCCTCCTCCTCAAATCTCCTGACTGCAAGGATCCCAGGGTAAAATTTGGTGGCCTGTGTTTGGCTTAAGGATAGATTGATTATAGTGGTCCTTAGGGTTTTAAAAATCTTTGAATCTTACACTGCAGCTTGCTTATGCTCTGTTTCCTCAAAGTAAATTTAAAGTTTGAACAGTACAGGCTGGCCATGCAGATCACGGGGAGTATTTCTGCTCCCTGACTGGATATGTGTCACTCTTAGAATCACGTTTCCATAGAAGCTATTCAAAATTACCAATTCAGATTTCATTTCCTGAAAATATTCTCTCAAAATGCCTCACTTTTGACCCTTCCCTGACAGGAAACCTGCTTGCTAGAACTTTTGCAGAGAGAGAATACAGAAAAAACCTATGAACTCAATAGAATGTTTCAGATGTATTGTTTTACTGTTCATCTGTTTTCAAGGAAAATTACATTCTAGGAATGGCATTTTAAACGTGGCATTTGGCCTCAGGCAGACTGGCCTGCCAAATTTTTGGGATCTAAATTTGCTGGGTTTGCATTGAATTGGAGCATAGTCTATGGGTTTGATTGGAAGCTCCTGCTGAAAGAGGCCTTGCTGCGAACAGACAGCATCTGAAAAAAGTGACAGCATATAGATCCTCATCAGAGGTCAGTTGCTTGAGCTAACACTTGGGAGGCAGGAGTCAAATCTTTGTGAGAATAAAATAAATGTTAAAATCAAGGACCCTACTTGGCCTTGTCTTAGTTCATATGGCAAGCTCTGCCTTGTGAATATGAAAATCCCTTAGCTAGAACAGAGCAAAGAGAGAGAATGAAAAATAGATGAAGGAGAGATGACATATCCGAAAAGGGAGGATCAACACAGGCAGACAAATGAACTAATCTTGTCCTCTTTGAGTAGGACCTGCTCCAGCTGCAGCTGAAACCAGTGTTTTGGACAGCTAACGGGAATGATCAGACCATTCCAACCCACCACTGACTGCTTCGAGGACTTACTTGCAGGTCTTCTGCATAGAGGCAGATTTTTACTCTAAGTGCTTTGTACTCCCCTCTGAGTCCAATCTCTACACAGCAGAAGCTTCTGGGTCTTCAGAGAGCATCAATGGACCTTATTGTTCTCTGCTCTCCTGAATGCCTTCACCCTCCTTTCTCTGTGCTGAAAGGGCTCTGTGTATGCTGAGATGGGCTGGAGATCAGGAACGAGCCCTTTGAAACAAAAATTGCTCTCTTGTTGTTGAAATGGGTTGTATTTTCTTCTCACAAGGGCAAGGGCTGGGTGCAGCAGTGTGCGGGGAGTGTGCAAAAGCCTAGAGCTCATCCTGAAGGCAGAGTGAGTTCCAGGACTGGATGACAAGGAAACCAAAATGCCCTGTTACCCAGGAAAAAATGGCTGCTCCAGGCCAAGGGGGAGCCCACACAGTCTTGGTACCTTTGCTTCAAGTAAGATCTTAGTTTTCAATGGCGAGGCTTCATTTCTACATGTCAGTGTCACAGAGCAGTCATTCCTGCAGACACCCAGCTCTTCCTGGAGACCTGACCCCAACAGAGGTGAAAGGGGATGAGGAGAGTTATGAATGCCAGCATCTCCCAGCTTAAGCTGCGCATGAGGCAGGCACGATGGTATAGGTTGATCTGATAACATAAACATAGGTGGGTCATCAGGACTGAGTGGCATTTCTACCATTGTAGCAAATAGCAAGAGCTTCCAGGAAAGAGCTCAGGGGATAGTGAGGCACCATCACAGCACTCTGTGCTATGGCACCAGATGTATTTTGCCTTTGCTAGCTGTACTGGTGAAAGGGGCACTGTGGCCTTAGCAGCAGCTTCCTTTCTGCTGAAGGGAGGGGGTTCCAGTCGGCACTTATTTCTTCATCAGTAAGGATACTAGAGTAAATGTTTCTTCCATATGGAGCAAGCCTCCATCTTTGACACCCTGGATCTAACTGATGATCACCCAGGTCAACCTTACCTCTCACATACTCTGCACGGGGCCTTAACAGACTTGGATTTCACTTCTGGCTCTAGCACAGATCACCAAATGGAACCCCAGCTATATGACAGGGATAGCACTCACACACCTCATGGCAAGGTTGGGAAAGTAAATTCAGTCATGTGGAAAATGCCACAGAAAAGCTAACAAATAAAAACAAGACAAGGTGACCCTAGTCCCAGGATTGAGTGGAGGAGCTTCAAGCACAAAATTTTACAGGCTGAGCTAAAGGACTAAACTCCCACACAGTAGGAAATGAGCAAACTCATATTGGGCTCTGTAAGACACACCCCTAAAGAATGCAGCATATCTTCACTTTGTCACTGTGTCAGGACAAGTCTCAGCTTTGATCCCATGAGTTAGCTCAGCCCGTCCAGTCCACAAAGACTACATCTAGAACAGGGGCGGGCAATTATTTTGGGCAGAGGGCCACTTACTGAGTTTTAGCAAGCCATTGATAGGCAGCCAGGGGCAGATAAATATTAATTTCCTAAATTTTTTAGGGGCCCCGTGGGCCGGATAGAATGGCCTGGTGGGCTGCATCCAGCCCCCAGGCTACATTTTGCCCACCCCTGATCTAGAAGGAACATTACTTTTGGAAACACCTTGAGCCTTATGGATTCAAGACAGCTGTTGCTAATGATCAATGTTGTCAATATTATTGATGAAAACCTAGAAAGCATTGCTGAAAAAGAGAAAAACCCACTGACTTGCATTGCAAAAATGTTCTATAACAAAAAAGATTCCTGACTACTATTTCATTTATTATAATAGCTAAGCATTGATGCAAAGAATTAGCATGCCATAGACTTCAGCTGTATACTCTGTGGAAAGTTGCATAATGTATGGCAAACCAAGATCTGGCCTACACTCACAGTTTAGCTGACAGCTGTACTAGCTCAGTGTGAAATACACCCTTTGTGCAACAAAATCACAGGGCTGGATGCAGATACACTAACAGAAGGCTCCTGCTTGGAGTAGTTAAGCTGGTAGAAAACCTGTCTATAATTATTTTGCATCTGCACTGGGGGTGCTCTGCAACTCTGACAACACTACAGAGGAGCTACTCTGTAATGTAGACAAACCCCAACAGTCAGTGCTTGTAGCCATTGCTATATGAAACCTTTGATAAAATCTGCTCTTATTTGTACTCAGATTAACCCTGGTCCCTTTCTCCCCACATGATGAGAACAGCAACACTTCTGTTACTTGGTTAACTGCAAGAGAGAGAAAGCGCCAACTTCTGTTCTGAATTACACTGATGTAAATCTGGAGTCACTCCTATAATTACAGTGTTGTTCCTGTGGATTTACAGAAGTATGAATGAGAGCGTGAAGATTTAAGTGATGCAAGGTTCAGTCTGTGTGACCCATATACACATTATATCTGCTACCTTTTGGAGCCTGGGCAGAGAGGAAAGACAATCTGCCTTCAGGGCACAATTACCTGAAAAGGGAGCTTTGATGACAGAGAAAAGAGAAGCTTCTGTGTACAGGATGATGATAAAAATATACAGCAGGACAAGCTAGCTAGTGCACCCAGGGATCTCTGCTTTTGCGTCTGGGTGGCAGCAGTTGGCCTGGCCTAGAACTTCCAGGGGTCTATTTCATGG